TCAAGTGTGACTTAATTTTTTTATGTTTTAATAAATTTGCGGTTACATTTGTGACAATAGTGTAAACCCCAAACATAGTATAGTCAAGTTGTGAAAAACAATTAATTACCATTTATTGGTAAGGAATAACAATGAATTTTCGGTTGTCTTTGAAACCATAATCAAAGTCCATAACTAATTAGAGATAGTATCGGGTGTAACAACTACTGTTCAAAATATATATTTTTAGAAGTCCAACAAATTGAACCAATATATATATAGATGCACTTTTCAAATTTGTAAAACACAAGCGAATCTCGAGCATAAAAGTAAATAAATCAATCAAGAGTCAAAACATGAAGCTTCACATGTTATGGCTCGTTTTCGTATTAATAGTTGTTGAAACAAATGCAACGAAGCAAGGAAAGAATGCAACAATCCCAGCACTAATAGTATTCGGAGATTCAATAATGGACACGGGTAATAACAACAATCTCCCTACTCTTCTAAAGTGCAACTTTCCTCCCTACGGCAAGGACTTTATCAGCGGCCTCGCCACTGGAAGATTTTCTGATGGAAGAGTTCCCTCTGATCTAATTGGTAATTGTTTGAATTACTTTTACAATTGCTTATATAAAAATTATAGCTATTTTTTTATATTGCAATACACTTTCTAAAAAAAAAATTACCCCAGCGGAAAAATTGGGATTGGCTAAGACATTGCCAGCATATATGAACCGAAATTTGAAGCCCAAAGATCTTCTTAAAGGTGTAACATTTGCATCTGGAGGAACTGGTTACGATCCATTAACAGCTAAGATTATGGTACATTCTTTTTTTTTCTATCATCAACGTTAATTTCATATTATAGGTGATACAATTTATGTCTTTTATTTTTGTAGTCAGTGATTTCGGTGTGGGATCAACTAACATATTTCAAAGAGTATATATCAAAGATCAAGAAAAATTTTGGAGAAGAAAAAGCCCAAAATATCTTGGACAATAGTTTTTTTGTTGTGGTTTCTAGTAGCAATGACCTTGCTCACACTTATTTAGCTCAATCTCATAGATATGATCGTACTTCATATGCCAATTTCTTAGCTGACTCAGCAGTCAAATTCGTAAGAGTAAGTGTTTTACATTTTTTTTTATGTACAAATTGAGCAATAATATAATTACATCTTAACAATAATTGCCTTTTATATAATACTTAGGAATTACACAAACTTGGAGCTCGGAAAATTGGAGTCTTTAGCGCAGTGCCTGTTGGATGTGTACCACTACAAAGAACAGTGTTTGGAGGTATATTTACAAGGGGATGTAATAAACCATTAAATAACATGGCAAAACAGTTCAACTCAAGACTTTCTCCAGCACTAGATTCTTTAGATAAAGAATTGGATGGTATTATCCTCTATATTGATGTTTATGATACTCTTTTCGACATGATCCAACATCCTAAAAGATACGGTAAGTTCATCTTACAAATATATTTATACGATTTTTTCATTTGTATTACATGACATAAACTAAATTCTCATTATCTTTCAGGTTTTGTGGTAGCTGATAGAGGATGTTGCGGTATAGGCTCTCTTGCAATATCTTATATGTGCAACTCACTAAATCCATTCACATGTTCAAATTCTTCGGCATATATATTTTGGGACAGCTACCATCCGACTGAAAGAGCTTATCAAGTAATTGTTGACAAATTACTCGACAAATATTTAAGCAAAGTCATTTGATGTTAATCATTTAGATCAAATATATCAATATTTTTGTGTGTCATTGTATTTCTGTATCCCATTATTTTATGTATGCATTTGTTACTCAAATTTTCATTGTATTATGCAATTTTAACCTAACTTATTTCTTCATCTCATTCTTGTCTTTATGTATCCATCGGTCAAATTTTCAATGTATTATGCAATTTTTACTCATCAAATTATTAAATTTCAAGACTTAATAAAAAGTATTAGCCAAATATGTTAAGTCAATATCTTTTGGTTAATATGATTAGTTTGTTCCTCAATTCTAGTGATTGTGATTAGTTTGTTTCCTTAGTTCTAGGCTTAGTACTCTGTATAAAAGCAATGTATATCATCTTGTAAAAAATACACACGATATTATCTTTCGATATAAAAAGAATATACGTGTAAGTAAAGGAATAAGATTTCTTTTTTGATCAAACCGACTCCTAGTTTGGAATAAGATTTCATATCCAATAGTTATGTAGAAATTAACAGAATTACTTAATATTTACTGACATAAATCTAGTCCATTTTGACATTAATCATAAATCACATAATAAGTCACATTTATCAATGAAAAAATTCATAGTTCATAGAACTGATCTATATTTAATTGAAATGAGAGAGAATTGTTGAAATAGTATGTTTCCAAATTTAAGTTCAAATATAGTATTTTCGTAAAAAAATTGTAGAAATAGTACACTTTTTCCAAAATACCTAAAATACCTTTAGGCTTTTGCAGAGTCGGCATGAATTTGTATACTTAGGTTTAGACTAAGCAAACTCTGCTTAAGACAGCATAAGCTAGGCAGACTTTGCTAAGTTTGTATATTTTCTTTAGTAGAGATTACGCATACTCTACCAATGACTGCAGAAGCTAACCAAACTTTGCTAAAGAAGGGCAGAATCTGCTAGGCTGGGCAAACTCTGCTAAGGCTAGAAAAACTCTGGAAAAACTAGACAGATTCTATGAAGGGTGGGCAGACTATGCTAAAATTTGGCAGACTCTGCTATGACTTGGCAATCTTTGTTTGTACTTTGCTGGTTTTAGCAGAGGTGATACGGACTATGCTTAAACTCTTCTAAAGACTCTGGTAGGACTTTGATTTGTAATATATTTTTCTGTATCATGGTTTTAGATAATATAATAAAATATCATGACGCAATGAAGTTCCATCTATTGTTTTAGATAATATAATAAGTTCTATAGATGTAAGGCTGTCATGATGCAAGGACCGTACATCGGGCAGGGTTCTGATGCTGTGCAAGGCTTTCATGATGCACAATCTTGACAGTAGATTGAGTTCTACATAGCTGACCGGGTGTAGGGCCCTGCTTGACGGAGCGTAGGGTCCTGCAAGACTAACGGGGTACAAGACTGCCATGTTGTGGGGTCTATGTTGCACACTATCTAATGTGCTTTTTGTCTTCTCTAGACTTTAAGAATAGTCACTTTCACATGTCACACTCAAAAGTAAACGTTATA